ATGACCAGACTTACTGGCCTGAGAGGGACTGGAGAGTATGGCCCCTGGACACACTTTTAGCTCCGTAATGAATTCACTCCAGAGGTTCATGTCTAGCCAAAGATTAGACAGACCCATAGGACAAAATGAGACTAAAGGGGCACACCAGCCCAGGGGCAAGGACTAGAAGGCAGGAGGGGACAGGAAAGCTGGTAATAGGGAACCCAAGTTCAAGAAGGGAGAGTACTGACATGTCTTGGGGTTGTTGTTAACCAATGTCATAAAACGATATATGTACTGTTTAATGAGAAGCCAGTTTGTTCTGTAAACCTTCATTTAATGTACAATTTAAAAGAAAAAAGATATTTATCATTCCTCCAAAAAAAAAGGTTTTATTACACTGTCTTAAAGGGTTTCATGAATACGTAGAATGATAATCTGTACTGTATTTTCATACTCTCCTGAAATCCAGAAGTACGGAATTATTGATTTATCTGCCATCCTCAGTAACCCTGTCATTTTAGGATTTAAAAGTTTCTACCTGTCAACTAAGTTATTAGTAAATGAACACACGATTGTTAAAAATGAGTTATTTATCAAACCAACTAGCCAAATAAACAAAAAGGGCCCAATCATAAACAGACACAGCTGCCCCACACACGTTCTGCTTTTTGTTTGCATTTTCATATGGGTGGCATATTGCAGTTGTCTGTCTAAATGCTTATAAAGTATCAATAACTGACCTAGAAATGTTAAAATCCCTTAGTAAAAAATGACGACTACACTATCCACTTATGACTTTTCATTCATGTAAAAACTGTTAAGCATCTAATACATGCAAAGCATCTGGCTAACTGCTGGAAGTTTTTGATTTTTGAAATTCTACATTGAGAACTTACATAAAAAAAGTTAGAATCATGCACAAAAACATTCCATTTCTTTTTCTTTTCGGAGCACCAAGTTCAACAGCCATTAGCATTTGTGTGAAAGTTATTTGAAGCCAGCTGCTTAAAACAGTCACCTCAGCCTCTGTAAATCCTCTAGTATTCATGGTGCTGCTTTTTAAACTGACGCAAATGGAAAGAAAATGAAGCTAAACCAGGGAAAGGCTAGGGAATCCTGCTTTAATATGATTACGTTTCACTCCTTTTCTATGATGCTACTTAAGATTGAACAAGGAATTGCCCATGGCTATAGAAAAGATTTCTCTACAGTTCCTCCCTGTCAGTTAAAATGTTAAACTCTGAATAAAGGTATCCTTTCTCCATATTTTGATTCTCTACTTCCTGTTCCTTTCTCCTCCAAGAGGAAAGAATAGAACTCAAGCTAAAGAGAAACTATTCAGTTCTGCCTGCTACAGACCCCGGGTTTGACAGCCCTCCCAGTCCCAAAACGTTGTTGTTTTTTTTTTATTACTGCTTAGTTTTATTATAGCAATGAAGAAAATTCTTAAGGTAAAATATTCATACATTTCTAACTGGCCTTTATTTTTCCCAAATACTGTGCTATGCAATGTAATAATCAGACCCACAGGAGATCATTGTTATTGTTGTTGTTAGGTGCCATCAAGGTGATTTCAACTCATAGTGACCCCATGTGACAGAGGAGAACTGCCCCAGAGGGTTTTCTAGACTGTAATCTTTACAGGAGCAGATCAGTGGGTCTTTCTCCTGTGGAGCTGCTGGCTGGGTTCAAATTACCAACCTTTTGGTTAGCAGCCAAGCACTTAACCATTGCACTTAAACCCTGTTCCCCGAACTAGACTCTGTGAAGGCCAGCCACTCCCAGTGAAAAAGTATCCACACTCAAGGGCTGTAGGGTGGCCCCATGGCCCCAACTGCTACCACAACCCAGATAATTGTTTTGACAGTTAATTCATACTGCTACAAATTTCTTTAATCCATGTTTCCCTTATCTATCATAACCCTATCTGTTTTCTTACACCCTATATTAAATGCCTTCTAAGAATCCTGTTTTTCAAATTTTATTATCTCAACACACACACACAGAGTACTTCTTCAGTATATATTCTGCTTATTCCTACCAGTCTAAAAGGTTTTGCAGAGTCTCCCTTTCTATAATTGGTGAGGAAAAGTAGGTTTCTTGATACGTATTTTTTTAACTGCACAAAGTCCCTACCAAGTGATTCTGACACAGCAGGGGTGGGGTTACCTCATCTCCTTGACCCCTCCCTGAGACTTCCTGCTCTTTCAAAACACAGTCTCTCCTCCAGACTCCCCACAACACTTGATCAGTTCTCCCTCCCACTAGAGATTATTTTTTAATTGGGATTTTGAAAAACTTTTATTCTTATTATCCTAGTTAGTTTATTTGAACTGTTCCATGTTCTAGCTTCCAACTTTAAAAAAAATGAAATTTAATATAATTATTCTATTTCATGCCAAATTGTTTATCTTATTTAAAAATGTTTATTTTGTTTTACCATCTTTCTTTACTTGGGATTTGTTTTTATAATGCCTAACAAGAAGTGAAGGAGCCCTGGTGGCACAGTGGTTAAGCACTTGGCTATTAACGGAAAGATCCGCAGCTCGAGTCCACCAGCCGCTCCTTGGAAGAAAGATGTAGCAGTCTGCTGCTGTAAAGATTACAGCCTTGGAAACTCTATGGGGCACTTCTACTCTGTCCTGAAGTTGCTATGAACCAGACTCAGCTAGACTGCAACAGGTCTGTTTTCTTGGTTAGGTTATTTCTTAGTCATCCAGTACTGCTACAACAGAAATATCACAAGTGGATGGCTTTAACAAAGAGAAATTTATTTCCTCACAGTTAAAGTAGGCTAAAAGTCCAAATTCAGGGCATCAGCTCCAGGGGAAGGCTTTTTCTCTCTGTCAGCCTTCTTCTCTTTGGTGTTTCCCTGGA